AAGGATTACCAACAGGGTGCAGCACTAGCACTATTATTTCTTTTACATTTATGACAACAGCTAATTTGCAACCTGGAGGCGAGTGAGCGTAGCGAACGAGCTAACCTGAAGGCAAGTGAGCGTAGCGAACGAGCTAACCTGAAGGAAAGTGAGCGCAGCGAACGAGCTCCAACATACAGGTGAGTGAGCGTAGCGAACGAACTTCAACCAGGACGTGATTGAGCCATGCAAACGAGATCAGATAGTAAAAATAAAAGTAAGCCTACCGTTATAGGATCGACCGGCAGACACAGAGGTAATTTAACCTTTTATTGATTGTCATACCGATCCGGAACAACAAAAAACAACATAAAATGAAGCTATGTATAATAGTTTGGCCAGCATATCTTAAAATATGCAAACCAACTGCTGTTCTTTATATAAGAAGGTTTCAACTGAATATTATAAGATCCCCGTGCGTAGAACGGGTACACAGCTAGTCATTTATAAATGTGGATTTGATGAAGCGTCAAAACCCCGTTAATCCTGTTGAAGCACCCTGTTGAAATGTTTTTGTATCCCTACTATTAAGAGTACAGTAATTCAATTTCACACCAAACTGTTGGACTTAAATTTGTATCGGCCGAGTTAGGAATCTTCAAATAGCGCACTCATTACACTTAACAGTAATAAGCTAACTATGTAACAATGTAGGTGGCATAGTAGTTGTAGGCTAGTATTGTAAGCTGGGTTAAAATGAGTAATGCATGGTTGTATAGTTCTATAACTATTTATGCTCTATAAACGGCGCGAGCTAGCAGCTATTCTTACTCATCAGATAGTCAAGAAAACTTATTTTTCCTACAGTCACCCGACAAAGTTGGCTTCAAAACTTATTTTCTTACAATACAAGACGTGGCCATGGATCTGTAACGGTCGGGCAAGAGCGACTTCATTAATATTCCTACGACGCCGCGATGCCTCGCCGATAATGTTCACTTGTCTCTGATACAGTCTTGTAGACAGTGAGTCACTTCATCGTGCCCCTCGCCTACTGTCTGTTGTCCTCAGATAATGTCCACTTGTCGCTGATACAGTCTTGTAGACAGTGACTCACTTCATCGTGCCCCTCGCCTACTGTCTGTTGTCCTCAGATAATGTTCACTTGTCGCTGATACAGTCTTGTAGACAGTGACTCACTTCATCGTGCCCCTCGCCTACTGTCTGTTGTCCTCAGATAATGTTCACTTGTCGCTGATACAGTCTTGTAGACAGTGAGTCACTTCATCGTGCCCCTCGCCTACTGTCTGTTGTCCTCAGATAATGTTCACTTGTCGCTGATACAGTCTTGTAGACAGTGAGTCACTTCATCGTGCCCCTCGTCTACTGTCTGTTGTCCTCAGATAATGTTCACTTGTCACTGATACAGTCTTGTAGACAGTGAGTCACTTCATCGTGCCCCTCGCCTACTGTCTGTTGTCCTCAGATAATGTTCACTTGTCGCTGATACAGTCTTGTAGACAGTGAGTCACTTCATCGTGCCCCTCGTCTACTGTCTGTCGTCCTTAGATAATGTTCACTTGTCGTTGATACAGTTTTGTAGACAGTGAGTCACTTCATCATGCACCTCGTCTACTGTCTCTTGTCCTCAGATAATGTTCACTTGTCGCTGATACAGTCTTGTAGACAGTGAGTCACTTCATCATGCCCCTCGTCTACTGTATGTTGTCCTCAGATAATGTTCACTTATCGCTGATACGGTTTTGTAGACAGTGAGTCACTTCATCGTGCCCCTCGTCTACTGTCTGTTGTCTTCAGATAATGTTCACTTGTCGCTGATACAGTTTTGTAGACAGTGAGTCACTTCATCGTGCCCTTCGTTTACTGTCTGTTGTCCTCAGATAATGTTCTTTTGTCGCTGATACAGTCTTGTAGACAGTGAGTCACTTCATCGTACCCCTCGTCTACTGTCTCTTGTCCTCAGATAATGTTCACTTGTCGCTGATACAGTCTTGTAGACAGTGAGTCACTTCATCATGCCCTTCATCTACTGTCTTTTGTCGTCAGATAATGTTCACTTGTCGCTGATACAGTCTTGTAGACAGTGAGTCACTTCATCGTGCCCCTCGTCTACTGTCTCTTGTCCTCAGATAATGTTCACTTGTCGCTGATACGGTTTTGTAGACAGTGACTCACTTCATCGTGCCCCTCGTCTACTGTCTGTTGTCCTCAGATAATGTTCACTTGTCGCTGATACAGTCTTGTAGACAGTGAGTCACTTCATCATGCCCCTTGTCTACTGTATGTTGTCCTCAGATAATGTTCACTTGTCGCTGATACAGTCTTGTAGACAGTGAGTCACTTCATCGTGCCCCTCGTTTACTGTCTGTTGTCCTCAGATAATGTTCACTTGTCGCTGATACAGTCTTGTAGACAGTGAGTCACTTCATCGTACCCCTCGTCTAGTGTCTCTTGTCCTCAGAAAATGTTCACTTGTCGCTGATACAGTCTTGTAGACAGTGAGTCACTTCATCATGCCCTTCATCTACTGTCTTTTGTCGTCAGATAATGTTCACTTGTCGCTGATACAGTCTTGTAGACAGTGAGTCACTTCATCGTGCCCCTCGTCTACTGTCTGTTGTCCTCAGATAATGTTCACTTGTCGCTGATACGGTTTTGTAGACAGTGACTCACTTCATCGTGCCCCTCGTCTACTGTCTGTTGTCCTCAGATAATGTTCACTTGTCGCTGATACAGTCTTGTAGACAGTGAGTCACTTCATCATGCCCCTCGTCTACTGTATGTTGTCCTCAGATAATGTTCACTTATCGCTGATACGGTTTTGTAGACAGTGAGTCACTTCATCGTGCCCCTCGTCTACTGTCTGTTGTCTTCAGATAATGTTCACTTGTCGCTGATACAGTTTTGTAGACAGTGAGTCACTTCATCATGCCCCTCGTCTACTGTCTGTTGTCCTCAGATAATGTTCACTTGTCGCTGATACAGTTTTGTAGACAGTGAGTCACTTCATCGTGCCCCTCGTTTACTGTCTGTTGTCCTCAGATAATGTTCACTTGTCGCTGATACAGTCTTGTAGACAGTGAGTCACTTCATCGTACCCCTCGTCTACTGTCTCTTGTCCTCAGATAATGTTCACTTGTCGCTGATACAGTCTTGTAGACAGTGAGTCACTTCATCATGCCCTTCATCTACTGTCTGTTGTCGTCAGATAATGTTCACTTGTCGCTGATACAGTCTTGTAGACAGTGAGTCACTTCATCGTGCCCCTCGTCTACTGTCTGTTGTCGTCAGATAATGTTCACTTGTCGCTGATACAGTCTTGTAGACAGTGACTCACCTCATCGTGCCTTTCGTCTTCGTCTACTATAGGAATGTTGTTCTCAGATTATTTATTAAATACGTATTTTTCCCTTGTGAATATAAAGCAACTTCAACCTGAGCTGCAGCACACATGCTACACTTTAGGTCCTGAAGACTAAAAGTACTCCACTCAAAGTCACACACGGTCACTTGAGTGTTTTGTCGTCAGCCTCCTCACACCCGCCTTGGCAGTGGGGTACACTTTACACAGCGGTTACGCACGGTGCGGAAGTCGGAAGGAAGTAGTCAGAATGTGCAGCTATTAGGGGTGGGCGCGTTGCATCGGGGCGTGAGTCGATATTTGAAACGGCACGATAAATTAGCTGATTGCTTAAAACAAAAGGTGGCCGAGAGCCCTTGAAACTCCAATTGTGTGGGAAAGCCAGCTCAGCAGAGTTACACCTCTACATAACACGTTTTATTGGACATCTTGAACAAGTGTTCTTTACTTCGAGGTGAGAATTTAATATACGGATTTTTCACCTCTTGACTCAAATGGGAATTGTTTTTGTTATGATTTAGTTTAATCCATTTATCCATTTTTGGTAATTCCTTTTTTGTTTTAGTAGATGATCGCATAGCTAATTATTGTTTTACATGATTTAATTCAACACACAGGACATCTATTTGGTGAAACCAATATGGCGCAATCCTCGCTATTTTTTAGAGAATGATGTACTTATTCAAGTCCTAGACTCGTAGGTATTACCTGCGCAATGCGTTAAGTATTAAATTCAAACCGACTGTATCATCTTATAATTACATACGGCATGTGTTTTACCGTACTTGTAGAATTTTCACAACTTAAAATCTAAATGTTATCTGTGTTAACACCAAAAATACGATGTGTTCTTCTATGACAAACAAATAAGAAATTAAACCGGGTTTGACTGCGAAAATCAAATAATTGCTAAACACATAATCTTAGTTACACAGAATAGAACCGCGCCAATCGCCAATGGGTTTTATCCATGTGATAATGCCGCAGCCGTCTAGGTCTATCTTAAAGAATTATCTAAGAACAGTTCCACGCTAAAACTTAGAAAAGACAACTAGTTTTTTTTTTTTTTTTACTTTTTTTAATTTTCACCCCGAAAAATATAAATACACCAATAAGAAAACTTAAGATATATATTTTTATGTTTTTAAATTCAATGTTTCATTATAATAGCTCAACGCAACGGTAATCGTGAGGTGCAAAAACCGTCCAATAAGGAACTAAACTCTCAGTGACTTCGTATAGATGAACTGCATAAACGCAACCACTATTGGCGAACATTTTAATCCCTGAACCGCCTTCCCCGCTAGGGAAGCTTAATTTAATTCAAAACTCGCACATGTCCATAAAGGCCTATTTTTGTGTGATCGGGAATTTCTTTTCTGGTAAGCAAAATAAATTAAATGTGTGTACTGTATTTAAAACATATAATGATGACACTAGAAACTTCGCTAGTGCCCGCTGGTAACGTTTCTTGACATCGATTCATGTTTTTATCAATTTGAGGTCTACATACGAAATATTTTCGAATACATTCTTACAACCCACAAACAAGTGGAGTTTCTTCATTCGGAGTGTTGTGTGCTGCAGAATCAACATTGCACCGTTGCACCGCTGCATCCATGTCACTTGCAACCCTCACTTGTCAAAGGTATAACTGACAGTCCCGGCGAGATCTCCCAGGCCAATCTCGTGTCACTGGTGTTTGATAACAAACAGGTGGCCGGGTGATAACAACCATCCATCTTTGCCCTTGTCTTTGTGATTGGCCCCGTTGTGCTGTGACGTCACATTAACTAATGAGTCCCCGGGACTGCTGTGCCAAACAAGTCAATCCCCTTCGTTCCATCATCTGCGCCAATCACAGCACACACGAGATGTATCTTCCATCTTTGCGTTTCTATATCAACTACGGTCTAATCCATTGCGGACCCATGACAACTTCCGATCGACCTGTGTGTTCGTTATGCACGTATTAGCAGTAGGTAGAGTTTACATTGATCCGATCTTTACGGTTATCTAAAAATACATGTCACAAATTTTATTACTAATTATAAACTTGAAACTTTTTCAACGAGTTTTTTTAACTAAATGTGTAAAATGTAATGGATAATATAGATAAAAGATTAGCGTGGGTTTATTTAACATTTGTATACGTTTTCTTCATCATTTAAATGTCTGCAATCAAAAAATAATGTAAATAAAATAAACATGGCTAAAACGAAAAAAAACACCTTCTCTTTAACTATTACAAATTTGTATTTGCTTTGTTCTACCTGCAAATGGGATTCTAGTACCTGCAAAGTAGAGAAAATTAAAGAAAAAAGGAAAAGATATACGCCTAAAAGTTCATCGCTATGAATTCTTTATACTATGACTTTAAGATAATTTGGTCTTGCTTAGTACTGTAATTTAAAAACTGTTGTAATTTATTCCCAATTTGATTTTTTTTTCAAGTGGTAGAAACAGTTTTTGTACTCAACTCAAATAATATGTGCTTAAACAAATATTTAGTTGGATTTATATCAGCAGTACGATGATAACGGGTAATCCACTGCTAGGCCGGCAAGGTGGTGTTATGGTAGGGAGGGGAGAGGTGTCTGTATTAACAGTTCACACCTTAGCCTCTAAGGGGCTTAACGGCCGATACCACAATTAACAAGTGACACCTCCTTGGAAGAGCCCCCCCCCCTCACTACAGGTAATTGATGTATATTGGTACACAATGTCAAAACAGATTGTAACACTGGGATCTGTACCATGTTGTGTTGTAAAGTTTGATTACAATACGTATATGATAAGAGATAAGAGTTACATGACGGTGTGATACATATTATCAATATAACTATAAATTGTTAAGGTGTTTTGATTTCGACGAATCTGTATTCATTTAACTCGAACCACAAACAAAGTGTATATAATTTATACCCTTTCCCAACCTGTTTTTTTTTTTTTTTTTTTTTTTTTTTTTTTTTTACAAAAATCATTAGGGAGATGGATGTATAACTTGGTAATACGAAATGATAATACGTTTCTTAAAAAAAATCATTGTAAGTATGCCGATTTATGACATGGATTATCTATCTTTTTCTATCAGAATAAAACTTTTGATTTCCTACAAGAGGGTCAGAACTAATGAAAAAAATTCTCAGTACTCTACAAATAAGTCTCTTATTCAGGACATGAGGCAACACAACCCATTGTTGATGGAATTCAATGATAGGTTTATTATGACAGTACTATCGTAATACTAAACATTATTCTCACGTTTTTTGGACTTTGGAAAATTAAAGCCTTTTAAAATCACCTCGGGAATTCTCTACCGTACGCATATACCACATGTAGATTACATTCCACAGCGTCCTTTCCCATTTTCCTGACACGTTTTTTTCACCGTCACTTATTTTCCACATTCGCGCGTCCGTCTGGTCAAGACAGCGGCAAATTAACGTCCGTCACATCACCTGGACTTCATTACCGCTGTTTATTGAATCGTACAAATACAAAGCGACGTAGTCCGCCACGGTCCGATATTATTCGGAATTCCATCCCATCCCGGGCTATGATTACCGCGCATATAATATTACTGACTGATTGTACGGCGCGCATAGATCGTGCGCCTTAACAGAAGTCGTATAATATTCGTATAAATGCAATTATCCGAGAGCGGGCACCTAATAATTGTCCAATTACAATAAGTACGAGTTGTGCTGGACGCCGGCGGGCTCGGGCCGTGGGAGAGGCTTGGGTTGCTGGATATATAGGCTATAACACACCGACATATCACACAGGCTACCGGCACCCAGGGATTACCAGTACCTGGGTGTCAAAGGAACATGGTTGGTTATTACCATTTACTAGGCATGGTTAGTTGTTAATTGAATCACAATTGAAATATTCATCGATCATTGTGAAAAAGATTTCGATTAAAATTAAAATATAATTTGGCTTTTCGTAAAAGTAGATATCATATTTATAGGTAGTTCCCCTTGCTGGGTTGAGAGTGTTAATCTTGTAGCTCGTCGGTTCGAGCCTAAGAAAGTGGATTTTTTATGGTTCGAAATTGGTCAAAGTTATCTTTTAAAACTGGGCTGTCCTCAAACGGTCTAGGCCAAAGACTCTGGTTGATCTTAGTAACAAATCTATTTTCTCATCCATTTACCTCTTATTCTTCACTCATAAACTTCAACCGTGTCGGCGTTGTAAAAAAGTCCAATGTAATATAATCTGATCTAGCCAAATTTATTGCGTGTATATTTTCTTACACCCAAGTGTAAGTATTCAACAAAAAATTTTCCTAAATTTGAGATGTGCCTTTACGAAAATTTTAGGATCATTTTCTAAAAAAAAATTAGTTCAATTTACGCATGATAATGTGTATTTTAATTGTCATCAAACTATGTGTAATTAACTCTTCTGTCTCCCGATACCAAAGAAAATATCCCCCAGTAATCAAGGTGGGTTCCGAACCGCTGAGGAACTTTGAATCTGAGCATCCAGCACAGAAGTACTCAGCTGTAATCACTACATTCAACAGCTGATGCAGGTGGTCTGTTACTTAGAACAATGTTTAACCAGAGGGCTTGAAATGTTAAAGTGTGATACTGTTATGTGGATATGATTGGGGTTGGACGTGATCTAATTGGCATAAGAAAAGTCTTACAACCAACATCATACATAAGCGGATCCAATGTACATGAGAACTTGTAGTTCCTACTTCAACTTGGTTCAAGTATCAAATGTCTTGAAGATCGTGCATCTAGGTTATGACCATAAACATTACTGTAAGATCAATGTTTACTGTCTTGTAGGGAAATCCAATAAAAATATATTGAGAACAAAATTTATGGATGACAATACTAAACCAAGCATTGTAAAATGTATTAGAACATCTAACTAATATTATAAATGTGAAAGTTTGTGTGTTTGTATGTTTGTTTGTTTGTTTGTTTGTTTGTGTGTTTGAAGTTCAATCACGCATAAACCACTGGAAGGATTGGGCTGAAATTTGGCATGGTGATAGTTTACATTCCCGATTAACATATAGGCATATACTTATCTCAAAAATCCTTTCGGGCTCCGCCCCAGTGGCTCTGTAATTCCCCATGTTAACCTTATGAGTATTCATATTTAAAGGGAATTAAAGAATTTAGTCAGCTGTTTCAACTAAAAAAGTTGGTTCTATGATATGGAAAAGCATTAAAAAGTTATAAGATTTACGAACAGGGTGCAGCACTATATTTTTTTGCATTTATGAAAACAGCTAATTTGAACTAAGCAGCAACAAAAAAACTGTGATTCGCAATGAGAACTGTCAAAGTAGGATTGTTTACAGTTATGTTTATGTTTTTCATTTCATGAATAATTTGTGATATTTTGCGAATTGTTGATAATTTATTTTTCTTTATTGTTTAGGTGAAGTGGTAGAACATTATGGCTATGGTAGATGTGTAATACTATAGAATACTGTAAATTTAAAAAAACAAATTTTATCAAACTGTGTCCTGCCTTATTGCAAACGCAAAGCTTGAGTTTAACTGCAATAAACATTTTATACTTATATTCCAACCCCGTACGAAGGACGGGTACTCTGCTAGTACATTATATTTATCTTAAACATAATTTTGCTGTCTCCGACGGTATTTGACTTTCTCCAAAGATATAAGAACAGGCTATAAATCAGAAAAAAATAACATTAGTGACACACACTAGCATTCTACCATCTAATTCCAATTATAAATCTACTCAGCTAAATAGTACTCCGCCGAACCGACTGTCCACAAATTGTTATTTCACACAGCAGATTTACGACAACATCATATAAACGTTCTGTTACATACTGTAACTGTGTAAACGTTCGCGCGCAACGAGTGACACTATAAATTATATATGGTGTAATGTGTAATGTGTAATAGCCAACATTATTAAACCACAAAACCACTGAGCAAGTTTTAATTTCATGTATGCAGTCTAGGATGCAGTTGATTACCAAACCCATACGTTTAATACGGTATGTTTTAAATTGATGAATTTATTATTTCTAAAATTTCTAACGAAGCGCGCTTTATTATGATTGTGTTTTTTTATCAAGCCATCCTGAACAGTCTATTGCTTAATAGACAGTTTTAGTTATGCAGTGTGTTTAGAGGAATTGATATTTTAATGGTAGATTGATTTTGTACATAAATATAAGAAATTGGCATCAATTTGGACACTCTTTAGGTATACAGTAAAAACTGTTACATGTGTAATTTTGTAAAATTTGTGCAAAATTGAAATCACTGTGAAATCACTCTCACATAATATTTTATCTTGTTAATTTATCGGATAGTTTAATAATTTTAATTCCTTATCTACTATGACTTCATTATATCCCTTTACTATGTTTGAATTTCCAATAATTAATGATCTCTCATTATTCATCAAATAAAGTACACGTATAATTTGTTACTACTGTAGATGACAATGTTAATACAGTGTTTCAAAATACTCGTATTATTTGATTTGAATTTTATGTGTGTAAAAGATCAATCGAAAATAGTACCCCTTACAATATTTAATTTGTTTTAATGTGTGAAAGTAAAAAGCAGTTTTTAGAGATTTATGATACTATTTTAATTATTCATCAAATTGATTAATGACAAAATTATTTATTAGTTATTAGTTAATTAGTATTTTTTGATTGGTATATTTTATGGCAAAAATTGAAGATCATAGAAATTACCAAGAAAATTCGCACACCATT